GAAAAATATGCATTTCGGTGTCCTCTAAAATCTTCCGATTAGCAGAGTTGTCAGATCTGTGTGAAATGAAGGTGCAGTTAAAAGCTACAATTTTCGTTTCGCGCAATCCATATATCACCATTCGCGCAATCCTGGACTCTTAAATATTTCTAATATTTCCTCCTTTCGCGCAAAACTATGGTAGCCATAATTTCTAGTTTATTTTGAAACCATTGAACGTCAGTGTACCATAAGGTGGAGCACTGCAAGACCAACGCAACTTTTGACTAGTGTTTTCGTACTTGCAAGTCACCTATGATTGCCCTCTAGAAGAAGTCCGGCCTTTAAATCGAGGAAAAGCGATATTTTTAAGACTGATGGAAGTCAGTGGTCAGAAGCCACTTTTCGTAACTTGAACTCGTAAAAGCCTTTGAAGTTGCTGCTCTATGATTACAGAGACGGAGCTTTTAGTCGCGTGAACCGACCGAATTTCCGACCGACAGTCGTATCCGAATTTCGGTTCGAGGGTGTGATTAACATGATTAGAAAGGTCGCCTTGTAACAGTGACGGCATAGTCTCCTCGACCGAAGATTTACTTCAGAACTTCATTGGTTCTCACATTAACACTACCTACGGTTTTTTTTTCGGTGTGCCGGGCGTCAAAGTTAAAATTCAAAGATTACATAAATTGAAGCTCCTATTACTGTGTAGGCGAAAAGCCAACGACTGAAAAATAAAAATGGTCGAATTAATATGTGAAAAATTGGGAGATTTTTCTTCTCAAGGTCTCTTGCAGAATGAAAAGAGCTGCTCATGACCAAATATGGACATATTTATGCCAAAAAGAACCATGCACAAATGAATGAAATCCGAAGGAGCTATGAAGCACGCGAATTCTATGCCCACGATTCCTTTTGATTTAAATCATTCTCACATAGTTTCTTCCAGCATAAATACGTCCATATGCCACAGCCTCGCTCAGCGCCTCGGAGCCCCAACAGAAAACTTCGGCTCCCAGTCGATCGCCCTGCCGAAAGCCCCCTCGAAGGGACGAAGGGAGGGGAGGTCGCCTCCTATTGGCCAGAGTGCCCCTCCACCCCTCAGCGCAGCCCGCCCCTGATTCCAGCCCCTCGCGAGGGTCGCTCTCCGACCGATACGTGGTACTCAGTCACTCTGATTTTCCGATCGGTCCCTGTCGACCCTCACCGGAAACGCCGAATAATACAATTCATTTAAATTACCCCAGTTTTTCGCCCCGTGAAAACGCTCCGGTCATCCCGGCCTTATCTCCCGGGTTCGGACCCCGATTTTTCCGGTCAGCTCTACGTTCGACCTCCATATCTGCAATACTTGCGTTTTCAGATCCCTGGTCAATGACGTAATATGTCAGCTTGACCCAGTGTTATCTTTGTGATAATTGCCGTCACCGTGATAAAAGCTGTCGGATTTGTGCACGATGATGTAACTTAGCACGGGGATGGTTCGAGTTTATTTCGGTCAACCGGTTCAAATTCGGGGTTAGCTTTGCCTTTTGGATCCCCTCACATCCGGTATTTGGATTTCCCGTTTCCGGTCACGCTTCGAACTTCCGATTCATTTCAAACCATCAATCTTCAGTTTACCTTTCGAGGTGTATGAACTTTCACCTGGTTTTAGTCTAATGCTCAGCACATGATTTGATCCTTCAGTTCGGTGCGCAGTTGTTCACGTTTTTTAACAGATTTTTTTTAGGACTCATGGCTTAAAATAATGAAAGAGATTTAGATTGATCCCTCAGTGCATGAAAATTATCGAAAATAGTTGATGTGATCTAAGTCACGATGTTGGAAAGTTGTGCTTTGTGCGCGTGTACTATTCGATCCGCTAAAATGTGGCCAGATTGACATGCGAGCCATTTTTGTCTGACCCTTGAGTGTCGCATTGAACCTAGTGTTAGTGAAGGGCGGAAATAGTTTTATAAAGTAAACATGCTGGACATCAAGACTTCGGCGGATTACCTGAGCCGCACTGGCACTTTTACCAACTTTTCTATGTTATTTGCAGGTAAAAAGCTCATTTAAAACCTAAATTATTAATTAGCAGGTAGCATACACAGGGTACACACGTTGAATTATGCAAGCGTCCACCAGGAAAAGAGACCTCAGTGTAGAAAAAAAAAACTCAAACTCTAGCTTTTGCCCTTTGAGCATGAATTCAACAAACATTTCGGGACAAAAAGCGTTTAGTAATGTTAAACTAAACTTGAGTTATGTCGGGTTGCAGTATCCAGTTCGAAAATGTAGCTCAGGAAAAAAATTATTTAAAATTCTAAAGGTAAACCACTCTTAGTATTCTCCAGGACACTAAAGGGAGGTCTCTGCCGAAATTTCAAAATCCAATTTTTCAACCCAGGTCGAGAAAAATCACCCCAGTGATAATTTTGTCCCATTAAATGAGGTTTCTTCTCCGGATAATGCGAATTTAAACTGATCAAGTAATCTTCTTCTAAAAATATGTGATAGTCGGGCTTTGAAGCCAACGTTTTCCGGAATTTGGAACCAAAAATAGAAGGAGCAATGACAAACACTTTTCTCGCTAAATTAGTAATGGTATATTTGTTTAGATCAGAAGGGTTCAGTTATCTCTGTTTCAAAATGGCTGCCGAAAATGGCGAAAACAAGTGGTTTTGGGTCGTGAGAGAGAAACTTCCTGAAGGATGACTGCGGGTCAATATTTGAAAATGAAAGTATAAGTGCTTAATTTTGAGTTAAATTTTAGATTAGCCTTGGCCACGGCCAGTAATTGAGTCAAAAGTGATGATGTGTCGAAGCGGCAATTCCAAAAATTAAAAAAGGTAATATGTCTTACTCTTAAGTTGCCTGATTCAATTATACGTAAATTTTTTCCGTAAATGGTTTCGAGGTTAAACGCATTTGTAAGTTCTTTTTTTAGTCCAAAAAACACTAGTTAATCGACGTTTCAAACGCACATATAAAAAAAACAGACCAATAGCGTTGTAACATATACGTTAAAATAGTTAATTTACTGCTACTGAACTGGAATTGTTGTAAATATATGAGCTAAAAATTTTAATTTATTCTAATTATGCACTTCGAATCGCAGGCTAATAAAAAATTGATAAGCACATAACAATTTAAAGAGTCGAGCAAAGCTATACGTTTTGAGAGTGACTTGCATTCTCTTGATAATTTTCTAAATGTTATCATCATAAGAAGAAAAATTCTACAAATTTCTGAAATTTTCTGGGTTTTTTTTCCGTTGAGAGAAGGGATGAAGAAGCCTGTGAAAACTTCTAATCAAAACGTTATAATTCCCACGATAAAATATCTTCTTAAATTACAAAATGTGTAAAACGTAGTTTTTTAAATATTTTAAATCTAAGGCACCATGAAAATAAATTCTCTCTCAAAAATATGATTGTCGGTAGAAGATTTTGATCCATACTTTTAGATTGGAAAAATGGGCAAAACAACTTACGAAGGAGGGACAAAAGAGAAATTTACGTTTGGTCCAAATTGTTGACAAGGGTTTCCGGTTGTCCCAAATAGAAATCCGATAAGGAAATTATTGAAAAAACGTTCCATTAGATACTTTGCGTTTTTTCTGGGAGCAAACCTTCTCCAGATTGTTTTAAGTGGATAATCGATAAAATTATTTTTTCAAAACATTTTTCCTTCTCATTTCTTAATGAGAGAATCCATGAGGCATGATTAAAATTTCAGCAGAGACAAACCGAACACCCTTTGATTTTTCAGAGAGGGAATCAGAATTAATTTCAGGATTTAATATAGAATATATAAGAACTAGATTTATATTACTCTTCTTATCAGAATATTCTAGTATAATAATTATAAGATTTTTAAGTATCTGTATTTGTACACCAACAGTTACCTGTATACCGCTCGATCAAAAATATATCCTTGACTTTTGTGCGTGGTTACAAAATTCAAATTAATGTGAAAAAGGTAGAGATGTCACAATATTAATTTATATTAGAATAAATTCATGCGATGTAACTAAATCAATGCAAAGGTAAGCCAATTCATTGATGCATTAAATCGTAGATTTATTGCTTTTAGCAAATCCACAGGTTAAATATGAACAAACTCAGTGAAAATACGGGTCATAACCATTGTTCTTTTTATCGTGATACGTATTAAAATGAAAATGATACATCAAATTGACGAGGAAAATTTTATCGCATAGCATCCATCAATTTCCTGAACAAAAAATAAGAAAAAGAAATCATAAAAGTTGCAGGTGAACTATTTCAAGTTCATTTTCATTTTGATGTCAAATTGTAGTCCAGATTCAGCTACATATTTTTTATTTGTATGAGATCGATCGATTGCGCCTCTCAAACAGCATAAATCGTAAGCATGGCGTTCGAAAATTATCGCAGAAGCGTCTCACTGAATCTGAGATGAGCTACGAAGTGCAGTGACACTTGGTGGAACAGACATCACAGCTGTCAACTTCCTCCCCTCCCCCCCCCCATACGCCCCCTGTCTCTTTTAATAATCGGGTTCTTTAAGCTGAACATTTTCAAAAATTTAATTTCTATCTTCTCACTTTTTGTGACAGCTTGCCAAAAAGTTAGGGACAGTCTAATCATGGAACATACTTACAGAAATACTGGGAGTAAAAAAAAAAACTTAAATAAAAAATCCGACCGTAGCTGTTTTATGAATTCAATGAAATTAGCTCTCGTGATAAGAGTTGTGCACTTTGCGAATAGCAATTGTCAGATTTGATTTTTTATCATATCTTCAGGAGAATTTATAACTAAGCCAGGGCTTTGCGCCAAACTAACTTGTTTCCTCTTTTGAATTTTAAGTAACTGCAGACTAGAATAATGTAGGCGAGTTCCGGATACTTTTGAAAAACGCTTTACTTAATTATAGCCTATCGTTTTTTTTTTGTTTATTTGTTTCCAATTTTTCATTTTCAATTTTTTTATACTATAATTCAACTTTTTGATTCGGTCTTTTCTTACTGTTCTTACTTCTTCTGTTCGCAGATACGTCGTACAAAGGCTCATGGGCGACGCATACTCCCTCTCAATCTCAAGGTAAGGAAAGACATGTATTTTTTCAAATTTCATTGTTGCAAAAAATTAAGAGTTGACGTCTAAAATTTCGAGATCGCAAAACCTTTCGTTTTTTGAGGCAGTAAAGTAAATTTGAGAGCTCTCAAGATATTGATAAAACACGATGAAATCCGAAAAAGTGTAGATATAACGAAAAAAGAGAATAAAAACCCCCAAAAATTGGGATTGCAGTCTTATACCAGGGGTTTAATAATTTTCAGTTTGCTTTGAAGTTGTATTCTTCAAGACAAATGGTCACGTAGTAGGCGCCGTCTAAAATGAATCACGATCTGAAAATCTGTTTTGAAAGCTGGAATCGTTAACCTCCAAATAGGCAATATCTAAAAAATATTCGACATTCTAAACCAAATCGCAAATTCACAGACATGGAAATTATAACGAAAAAAAAAATGATTATCTGCCCTCCCCTCAATTCATTTCACAATATTCTGATAGAAAATTCGAAGCATGGATTTCGTCATGTACTGCATGCGTTTGACGTAAGTTACACGCATAATAATCCGACACTATCGAAAAGTATCGTTTAAAAAAAATTACGAAACAAGGAACATCTCCTTAAAAATTGTGTGATATTTTCACGAAAACTTAGAAGGCGTGCATGTCTCTTGCACCGGACCATCATTTCACCTTCAAAGGCTCATGATACCTCCAGAAACACTGATGAGCGCGATATGTGGTATGCTTCATTCTCTGACCAGGCTGGTTGGATTATCCGTTCTTGTCCCAACAACCATGTACAAAATAAATGTAACGTCAGTTTCAAAGTTGATAATTTTTCACGTTTTTCAGGCTAAAATTCTGCAGAATATAATCTATTGGTTTTTCACTTCTACTTCAAAAATACCGTGCCGAGGAAGAAACGGGGAAGAAAACCAAATTTTTTAGATTTTCAGAGAAAAACTTAGAAAAGAGAATACATCTAAACACAGGGAAAGTAAACTGATGTAAGAGTCTAAAACTTTTCTCCTTCCACCACACCAAAAAACCGAAAGTGTGCTAATGCAACATCAAGCGCGATTGTCCAAAAAAAAGTGGTCAATATCAACTCAAAACCTCCGATTGATGATTTTATTTTCAGACCTACTTTTTTGTTGTTTAAATTTATTGCTTTCATTCATAGTCTATCACTTGAAGTCAAATCAGTTCATTTTCAACAGCACCTCTTTGTAATTCGAACGCTTCGAAAAATCTGATTGATAGCCAAATCTGTCAGATTTTGCGATTTGTCCTCATATTTTAACCATATACCTTGTGAAAATATGCATTTTTTTCAACATCCGACAACGCCTTCAAACGAGAGGGAAAACGAGGAATGGTGGCTAGTCAGGAGATTGGGGGGGAGGGAGGGGGGTTAGGTTTGTCAAAGGTCACCCTTTCACCCTTTTTTTCCGAACATTACCGGCCAGCCCCTCCACGCCGCCCCCCATTAAACCAGCCGTGAAAAATTGTGCTTTTTATCCTGCTTGCTCCAACTTTGTCCGCTTGTCTGCAATCACCTAAATAACAACCAATCCCTTTCCCGCATTTTTTTTTTCACTCGGATTTCCCCCCTGTGGAACCTCCATGGCTTCTGACCCCTCAGCCCCGTAAATCTTCGCGGGGAAAACAAACTGGCCTGATGCTCGTTGATACGCTGGAATATAAAAATTTTCCTCGAGTGCGTTTTTTACTGCTTTTAATTTGCATAGATGACTGGCTAGTTTGTCTATAAATTTTGATCCTCGATTTATTCAGATGAACCGTCGGATGGTGCGGATAACTAATGGCAAGTTAAAAACTCTCACAAATGCAGAGATGAATCAAATTTTTGACACGGCGATGCGTCATTGCAAAAACAGTCAATGCAAAGCGAATTTTATTTAAAATGTTCAAAATCGAAGCGTAGAGTGCGGTTTATTTCAATGAATTAAACTGATAAATTTCAAAATGAACAAGTCATAGAAAGTTGCAACCTATGTACACAATCATATTTGCCATTTACACGGCTTATTCAGACATTTTTTTATGATGTTTCCGCCTATTGCTCGTGTACGTGAAATTCAGTGGCGTGGCGTACTTTGCGGTATATCGATTGATCTGCCATTTAACCTATATGGAAAAGGATCGATTAATAGGGTGTTCGCAATGAACACCTCAATAATCAATTTTTTACCACAGCTTCAAATGGGGAAATATCGATAATCGATCACTCATGCCTCACTCTGGTGAAATTTTCATGACGAAACATCGAAATGCTTCTTTTCTTAACCTATAAAACGGTTCATTCTATCTACCTTGAACGGGAATTTCTCCGTTAATTTCAGTGAGCCCATAATCTACCTTTTCGAATTTTCTATAAATACCATTACGACGAGGGAAATATGCTTTTACGGGTTATTAATAAGGTGAAGGACCTTGTTTTCTTCATTTGAACAGATGTTTAAATTTAGTTCGAGAGCTATTTTTGACCGTAAGATGCAATAAAATAATTTTACACTCTCACGCGCAACACTAACTATTAAATAATTTCGCAGACCAATCGAAAATTCTCCTTGCGTTTGGCCTTCATTCTAAGTTTGCCTTCATTTTAATAGGTATGTAGACCGCATTCCTAGGTGTTTAAATAGTGATATATTGAACTTTACGACGCTTTATAGTCGTCAGAGGCGATAATTCTTTCTTGACGCGTCGTCATAAGACACTCAATAGTTAAAAAGAGAATCTAGGAGAAAGGAGAGGGAATCATGACCTTCAAAAACGTGTACTTTTTCTAAAGTTTGGTTCATGAAAATAGTTGGATGCGGTAAATTTGGATCCAAATTACCGCAACAGTTATTTTTGCATCGTGCATTTTAGCGCACAATTATGAGACTTGGTTAAGTCTTAAGCCAATGTCACAACAGAGGAATTTTCTTCTTATTAATTTTAGTGTTTGTTCTTTTTTATCACTAAAAATTACATCTGTCACTGCATCACATCTTAATATTTCTATTTAAATTCCGTCTTTATGGCAAGTACATCTGATTCATGTTTTAAGTTGATAATCAAGATTGATGTAAGACTTGATCATGCATAAGTTGCTGAAAAGTTGAGCAGTTTGCAATCCTCTCACGCCTAAACGGTCGAGATGAAAACTGAAGGCGTGGCCTGGCGCTGGCGTGCGACAATCGTGAGGCGCTTAAGAAACTCGCCGGCGGAACGTGGCTTTAAAATATTCACCCTCGCTCCCAAATCCCAACACCAGTTAGGGCCCATTCATTGCTTACACGTTCGGCTTTCACAGCAAATCATGTGTGATATCTCAATTATCTACATCCAAGTCACTTCCCACGTAACAGGTCCTTCTTTTTACACTGTAGGCGGAGCAGTAAGATTTGGAGCTCAGCAGATTGACTTCAAAAAAAAAAAAAAAAAAAAAAAAAAAAACATATTGTATGCTTCGCTCTGGTCCTTTGAAGTGTGCCGCGTTCTGAAAGAGGTGACTTCACCTGTAAGGCAAATATGTCGAGAACCAAAACAAACAGTTACATTTTGGAAACACGTAACTCAGTTAGAGCTTTTTGAAAAGCTTTGTTCATATTTTATTTTTTATAGAGGAACCAACCAGTACCACGGCTTCAAATGTTTACGAAAATCGTAGCAGAATGTAAGAAACATAAAGAAAAGTTAGGAAAAATGGAGCAAGTTGTCATTTGTGGAAAAATAAAATACGAAAATATATTTTCGAAATCACTTTTGAGGTACATTCTCTCAAAGTTTGCCCAAACCGGGTCACGAAATTTCTTAAGCCCTAATTTTATACATCATATTGCCCTTTAAAAAGCATGATTAATACTGCCGTGCTAAGGACCAGCGCCGTATGAGCCTTCAGACGTTGCCAATCGATACAAACCGAATCGGCAGGGAAAATTGTGAATATTTTTTTCCTAAACTTTTAGACAATTTCGTACGCAATTTAATCTAATTTCAAAGAAAACTGTGTATGAATATCGTTAAAAATACATGTTTAATCAAGTGAAATTTGGCAACTCTCGAATGTTTATATGGCGTTCTTCCTTAGCACGGCATGAATACATCACCTTCAAAAGTGCAAGTAATGTAGGTAGTATTGTGTCTCTGACCTTCGTCGTCTCAATGGTTCACGAGAAACAATTATAGTGAAATTTTGTCTGACAATATACAGTGAACAACTTGCAAAGTCACAAATTAAGGTACGAGTGTGTTTTACCACACCGTCGATGATGGGAAAATGTGTAACTGCGATTATGCTTGAGAGTACTATCAGCGGCAATCGAGATCTTTTGCTATCAAGTTGAAGCGACATTGTTGAAGGCGCTCTGAGCAACTATTCCGCCACAGAAGTATTGCACAGTATCAGACGAAAACGAAGGCGCACTTACGCAAGTAAACTGACTGGTATTGTTTTCCACGGTGAAGAATCCTACTGATCCTATGTGTTCGAATAAATACGTCCAATTGGACGTATTTCTGTCAAACAGACCTATGTGGAAGTAAGAAATATGGGGTATGCTCGTCGAAGCTGCATAAGAAACAATGTAAAAGTGGACGTGATTCCTTTTGAAGAATTGGCAAAGCGGGATTTTACATTCTACCAAACAGACCTATGTGCTAATTGAATGGGGGATTCATGAGCCGCGGGCATGGCAAGAGAGCGTTGTGGCAGGGTTCATGAGTTTATGCGGAGGCGGGCGGCTTCGTTGCCGCTGACGTCACTGGCGCTTTATTATTCTCATTCACTCTTACGACCAGAGAACTAACGAGCACACCCCAGATTTCTCACCTCCACATAGGTCTGTTTGGTAGAAATACGTCCAATTAATAATTGTCTCCCCAATTTCTCAACAAAATTCACCTACAAGATCGTGTTTTGCCCGTTCTCGTGAAGTCCACTCAAGAAAAATTCAGAAAGCAGTCCACAATCGAGACCGCCGAGGCCTTGTTCCGTAGAATATCCAAGCCGC